CGTGCGTGCGTGCGTGCGTGCGTGCGTGCGTGTGTGCGTGCGCGTGTGCGTGAGCGTGTGTGTGTATACTTCGCTTATAGGTATACTCCCACTGTAGGCTACCCATGTTCCCTATATATTGTATCCATTGGAATGTTTAATGCTTAAAGACGTACGAGTCTTCTACGCGACTTGAACATTCGCAAACGTAAAGGAAAAGGTGAATGGGACTCGGTTTTACATGTTAGGCGACAAATGCCAAACCGAAAAATGCGAAAACAAAAGCGAAAAATGCCAAGACCGTCAGAAGGCATCATCATGTGTGCGAGTGCGGAGTACGTCGATTCAGCGAATTCAACGTTGAGTAAAATATCTTATTCTACATTTACTGATCATTTAGATAACGTCTTCTCGTATATAACTATAAAGTACGACAAAGTACAGTCACTCGTATACACGTACAAAGATCTATAGATGTTATATTATGAAGAGTCCATAATAGGAAATATTATGAATTTTATTTGAAAATTGAATATATTATTATTATTATTTGAATATATTAGGAATTTTCTATTATGGACTCTTGATTTTATTCAAGCCACTAATTCATTCTTAAGTCACTAATTAATTAATTCATTCATCTCCACGTCGATTATTAGCTGCGTATGGCATCGCTCGGTGCTATGTAAATACAGATATACGCAGGCGACAGATATCCACATCATAATTAGGAGAGCGCCCAAGCATGTAGGGTACGAAACACCTACTTTATGCCCTCGCTTCCTTCCCCTTGTCTCCCCTGTCCCTCGCTCAGCCTCCTTCTTCTACCGCTCCCAGCTATCTTTATTGCCGCCTTTCCTCAGTCTCCTATCCCCTCTTTCCATCAGCAAGCTATATTATAATGTTTGCCTCAGACGGCACTGCACGCCTAACACGGTGCGCGCGCATGCGCAATATCTCCCGAGAGAAATCGTATTATGCAAAGATTATGCATTTAAAATGAAGAGGAGTTATCCTAGCATAGATTTATATGATAACATTCCATCAGTAGACATCATTTAATAAATAGGAGGAAGACCTTGCATGTAAGGTCACCGCTGCGTATACCAGCCAGTACACAATCTGGCTACGTTAGTGTGTTAGCCCATGTGCAATATCTCACCAGAGGAGTTATATTTTGTGATGAATATGCATTCAAAATGGTTAGGGGGTATCTCAGCATAGATTTTCGTAATAAACTTTTATCAGTATACCTGTGTTTATAATTAGGAGAGCGCCCTAGCATGTAGGGGTACAAAACACCTACTTTATGCCCTCGCGTCCTTCCCCTTGTCTCCCCTGTCCCTCGCTCAGCCTCCTTCTTCTACCTCTCCCCGCTATCTTTATTGCCGCCTTTCCTCAGTCTCCTATCCCTTCTTTCCGTCATCAAGCTATATTATAATGTTTGCCTCAGACGGCACTGCACGCCTAACACGGTGCGCGCGCATGCGCAATATCTCCTGAGAGAAATCGTATTATGCAAAGATTATGAATTACAAATGAAGAGGAGTTATCCTAGCATAGATGTATATAATAACATTCCATCAGTAGACATCATTTAATAAATAGGAGGAAGACCTTGCATGTAAGGTTACCGCTGCGTATATACTAGCCAGTACACAATCTGGCTACGTTAGTGTGTTAGCGCATG